TTCACACTCTCTGCAAAACTCTTTCTTTTTCCTCTTCTCTCTTCCTCTCTCTTTCTCACTCTCTCTCTGTGCATAAAACAAACATTTTTCTTAACTCTCATCATCTGACACTCTCTCATTTTTTTATGTGACATAAACATTTTCATCCAATTCTTCATCAATAACTTTTATCATCTATCACCTCCTCACAATTCATCATCTCTTCTGCTCTGTGCATCTGTTTGTCTGCTCGCCTGCATGTCTAGCCCTTTGCTATATACTTTTTTATTATGTCTGTTCATATATATATGCGCCTAAAAGATAAGCCTATGTGTCGCGTTATAGCTCAATAAATGACCTGCGCAAATGTTTGAATTGAGCGTTGTTGTGCTATTTTTCAAAATCTCACAATATGTCAGACAAGCATATACCTCTCTCTCTCTCTCTCTCTCCTCTGTTTCTTTTCTCGTCTACTGTCATCTAATATCTTCTTGCAAGGTCACTTCATTCGTACTTCTTTCACTGCGACAACATTCGCTCACTCTTCACGAATATGTTTACACGTTATTCGCTTGATCTTTACCCTTTTATATTTTTGCGTCCGTTCCATTTGTTAATTTAGTCCACGTGACGTTTCAGTGACAATTTGAATGCTTTTTAAGTGTCAGTAAATACTAACATTTCTTTCTTTATCGATTAACTGTAAACAAATGCATTAGTTAGTGAGACGTAATCATTCATTCAGTATGTTTCATATTTCGTCAACTGTCTGTCTCACATACAGTTTTAATAATTCAATCATATATTTATAAATTATTCCTTTATGTGTGTTTTTTTCGCTTATTTTTTTATTTGATTATTGTTTAAAAAATCAGAATTGTATGCTTATTTATTGGAATATTAAAAAAATGACATCATTGCATCCCTCTTTTCAATTATTCATGAACGTGTTGGAAGGAGCGGAAAAGGCGAGAAAGCATTGAAAGGGAGAATTATGCAGGTGCAAGTGACCTTGGTGACAGCTGTGACTGGTTGCACCCCGGTACCGCCATGTATTTGCAACACTGTTGCTTATAATGAAGTGGAAAAGTCTATCGAATTTATTATGATATTAGTTCAATATATCAACTTTCTATCAGTTATTTTAGTTTTGATTTTTCTTCAAGAAATTAATATTTTAATTCAATCCCTTTTATCAATAGTACAGTAGCTATCTTTTCTTATTTGCACTCTAATTTTATCCCATTTCTTTTCTTTTCTTTTTTATAACCAATCATGTGATAGCAATTTAATTGCATTCATTTTTCGCTATTCCTTAATTCAAATCATTCAATATTGACAAAAGCATCATCTGTTATTCATTTAGTTTTAATATCGTTTTTTTTTTTTTTTTCTATTTTCAGTCATCTGTTCTTTCAACTATTTCACTTTATCCTTTCTGCTTCTACTACTACTACTACTGTTTCTCTATTGCAAATTAATTTCATTGTTAAATTAATATTACTTATTTATACAGTTTAATTTTAATCTTTGAATCCAAATAGTTCCATCATATTTATTGATAATTTCAAATTAGAAAGTATTTAGCAGACAATTGACTATTTTCATTCTTGACATACACACACACACACACACAACATATATATGTATAGGATAGACGGACAGACAGACAGACAGATACTTATTATATTGGCAAGAATGATGTGTAAGTGCAGAAGAATACAAGTTATATTCAATCCTGAAAATGCATTTTGTGCGGTGTGTTCGGTATTTGTGATGATGGAAGTACACTGTGTCACCAATAATAAAATGACAAACGAGAACGAGAGAGAGAGAGAGAGAGGAAGAGGTGGAGAGAGAGAGAGAGTGTCCAGATAGTTGCAATATTTTGGACTGTTTTGAAATAGAGATGAGTTTCGTTTCAGTTTGTCCGTTCGTGCAAGGACGATGTGAAAGAAAGGATGCAAATAGAGTATGTTAGAAAAGAGGAAAGAAGAGTGATGAACTAAAAAAAAAAAATTTGATTTGATTGCAGTCTGCGACGTAATGCATGCATGCATGCATGCATGGTGGTCCATCTGTCTACGTGTAACATTTGCTATCTTATCTCTCTGAATAATATAAAATTATAAAACCTTGCATAGATGTATTGTATCGTCTTGTCACCATTATATTTGATATATGTAAGGTTTAAGTATATACGTATCCCTGTGTATGTGTGTGTGTGTCTGCGTGTATGTTATGCATGTAAATGTATGTATGTGTGTGTGTCTGCATATGTGTTATGCATGTAAATATGTATGTGTGTGTGTGTGTGTATGTATGTACGCGTAGGTGTGAATGTGTGCCACAGCTGCTTAGCTGATAATAACATTCCTGTTGTGGTTCAGCTCTTCCACGATGGATAGTGTGAATCGATGTGAATTTAACAACTTTCATTAAGATGTCTCCCTATTTTGACAGTCATTTCGTTGTCACTATTTTTCATTATTTGATCATTTTGTGATCTTCATTTTAATCACTCATCATTTTAATAATTCATTTGGGAGAAGAAATGGATGGAGAAAATGATTTTCTGTGTCATTCATAATTTAACTGATTGAGGAAATTGACATCATTGTAGGAATTGTATTTATTAGTTATGAGATCGATCTTTATCAATATTCTTTACAATTCATCTTGAAAATTATTTACTTTGTTTGGAGAGAGTCTAATCTATCATCTTATCTATCACTTTGTATTGTTCCTTTTTGACTGTGCAGTTTTCCTCTTTTTGTTTTGTCCTGTCGTGTCGTGTCGTGTCATGTCGTGTCGTATTGTTTGAAATGACTCACTGTTGTTGGATAATTTCCGAGTGGACGATTTAATTGCAAATTTTTTAATGCAACTAAACTGATATTGGGATTTGTTTGTCTCACAGATAAAAATTGGGTTCAAGTATGCTCTATATTACCATTATTTTATGTTAATAGTGCGATAGTTGATCGGTGGATATTTTGATTGGAACTTGTTTATTGTGACACTGACGTGGTTTGTAAATTTTTTTTTCTTTTGTAATGGTTGCATTGTTGATCTGTTCGTCCACCTTACTTATCAAGACCTTTCGTTCCACCCAATTTTTCCTTTTTTCTACACCGCAAGCGGAGTAGGAAAATGTTTTGTAATAACTACTGCAAGAAAAGGCAGGTAATGTATCATTCTTCACTGGCAGAATTCCATTTGCAATTCAGCCTCTACCCGGCGGCGCTGGTATGTTTTTTGCTTACTTATCAATCATTTCTGATTGATAAGTAATGTGGTTTGAAAGATTGTGGTTTGTTTATAGTTTGCACATTATATAATCTATCTCTTGTAAAAAATTGCAAGGATATCAAAAGATAGAAGACTTTTTAACGGATCGAGTTGGCTGTGCAAGAGGGAATGCAAGAGAAATTAAGTTAAATACGTAATTCAAAAAAATCTTAAATAATTTAGCAGATAAAATCTGCCAAGTTTTCTTGGAATTTATCATCACAGAGTTAAGTTAATTCTAAGAATTGTAATAAAGTTGTAATTCTTAGAGTCAGAGACGTTTCTGGAGTTAGGGACTTCGCCCATAATTCTAGAGTTACATTAAGAAGTTCCGAAATTGATCTTAAATACATTGCCGAAAACAGTTGATTGTAACGATGCAAAGGTAGTAAATTCTCGATTGAGTATTAGAAAAAATTTTGCTTACTAATGGAATGTTATAATGTTAATATTACATATATTGTAGTGGATGGTGAATTTCAAGGTCGATAATGCAAAAAAGCTTTCGTAATGACTAACTTTTCAGCTTTTAAGAATCCTTCTTTAACTAACCTCATTTGATTTTTTGTCTGTTTCTCTCTCTCTCTCTTTTTTTTTTTTTTTTTTTTTGCGACGCATATAATCGTGTCATCGTTTTTAATCAAATGTTGAATGTTATTCGTTTTAGACAATTTTACGTGGATCTGGTTTGACGATATTCGAACAAAAAAAAGCGTTGTCGTACACTTTCCATCACTTCGAAAGCATTTTCAACAGTATTTCGGACGAAAAAAAAAAAAGAAAAAAAACATTTCTTTCTCTTCACAAATTCCAGTTTTGTGGTACCTAACGGAAAGTGAATATTTGTCATTATCGCATTTCGACGAGTGTTGCTGTGTGGCTGGTCAATAGCTTTTACCTTACAATTCTTCGTTACCTGTTATAACTACTGGACGAGAAATTTATACCTGTAGAAACAGAGTGATATCGCTGTTAGTGATAATAGCAGCGGTAGTAATAGTGCTAGTAGTAGATTAAGCATCCAGAAAGCTGGAGTAGTATGCCAGCAACATCCGAGGCAATCCCTATTCGAGTTCCTGCTGGAGCACAACGTGGTGAAGACGGTTTTGTTCCGTGCGGTATAATTGATAACGATACACTCGAATCTGTTGAAGATCCTCCATATTTTCTGGATATGTCGCATTACTCTCAAAGTGTAGAGGATGATGATGGTCCATCAGCTGCAACAATCTTTTCTCAACATGTGAGTTTTTTTTTTTTTTTAACACTTTGTCATATTATTCTTTTGATTCTAAGCAGTTTATTTTGTTAAAAATGATGAGATCTACAGAATACTACTACATAAATATACAGTAGTGATTTTTTTTTATTGGTTTTTTTTTTTTTTTTTTTTTCAGTGTTTAACATTATAACATAGCTGAAACAAATCTGTGAATTACTATATTGAGGGAATAATGTTTACATGTAAGATTGTTGTGAGAACGTTTTTCTTTTTTTCATACTTAATCATTATTAATGATGAGTAGTAATTACAAATATTTGTTTTCTTTTTTTTTTTTCTTTCATTGATATCTCCTTTTACTTCCCTTACTTTTATTGGTTTTCTATATAAGGTGGATCAGTGCGGGAATCAGTGTACATTACCCGCCATGTCTCATTTGCCTACTTCTTGTTTTTGCATTTTACTGTCACTAGGACGAGTGCTACAATAGGAAGAGTGCCGCAAGAAAATGTTGATTGAAATGTTTTTGTCCGCGATAGTTAGGGTTTTAGGGGTGAAGCATTTATTTCCAGTTAGTGCTGTAAGTGAAACTTTACTTCTATCCTTATATTTTTATCTGATTAGTTTTAGCAATAAATATTTATGAATTTTAGAATTTACTATTTATAGCTCATTAAAATTATCTGAAGTATGAAATTGTACACATTTTGCAAATTTTATTATATCTGGTAAAATCATTGTTTAGGCTAAAATATCAGAAGCACTTCCTGTATGTGCTATTCCGGGTGAATCACTGGAATCAACTATGGATACAGGTTCTGGTACTGTTTACATAACAAATTATCGAATTGTAATATTGGATCGCGTGAAAAATGCTTTGGCAATTATTCCACTTTTGAGTGTTGATACCGTTGAATTCTGGTCTGGCGATCCGTATGGAATACAGATTACATGCAAATTTGGCCGAATATGCAGGTATTATTGACTGAAATTAATTAAATGATAAGAAATTCTTGGCTAATTCATGTAAACGGGATGAGTATCTTGGTCGAAGAGAAAGTAGCGCTGGTTTACGGCTTCATTTTACTTATTTTTTTGTGTTTACTTCTTGTAGGTAAGCATTACACATAACTATTGTAAGATGCAGCATAAAATTTTACAAAATGCAGTTGACTTAATCTCTAATAATAACTGCTGCTTTTGAAGATTGAGATGCGCAAGCGAGGTGCAAGTTGAACTACATAAAAGGTTGCAAAAAGCGACTTATAATATTGCTACAAATGATGTTTTTGCGTGGCAGTTTGCCAGAGCTGCAAAGGTGTCTTTTCAAAGTTTCAAATAAAATAATTATTTTGCTAACAAATTAACACAGAGCTGAAAGGTAGCTTTTAAGCGAGTGACGTATAGTGAATGCTTAAAACTAAATAACAGAAGTTCTAGTTGATGTTGCGGTGTTTTTCATCGTTATTTGAGATGACTTTTTGTCCATTGACTCCATTCAGTTTTTTTTTTTTTTTGCAAACATTTCGTCATCTATTTTAGGCTCAACTTCCTGGCTGGCTTAGATTTCATAGTGAAACGGCTGATTCTGAATGTCCAGCACAGAACGAATTTCTGCGGCTCAACTACAATCCTCAGTCTTGGAGAGTTTCAGAAGCCAATAGTGATTATTCGTATGTCTTTGTTCCTCTTTAGGACCCCTTTATATCCTTCTCCATTTACTACTAATTAGAATTGTATTTCATGCATTGAAGCTATCCTTGCATATTAATATTGTCCAAAGATGAGGATTTCCGAACAAAATAAATACAGAAGCAATTTTTCAATGTAAAGATTTTTCCATTCAAATTAGTTAGATTTTTTTCAGATTGTGTGCAACATACCCAAAATCCGTTATAGTTCCAAAGGATATAACGGATGATGAATTGCGTCGAGCGTGTGCTGCTCGAAATAATGCTCGATTTCCAGCTGCAGTATGGTGTTACGCCAGGAATGAATCCGTTTTGTTACGCAGCAGTCAACCATGTTGTGGTATTTTCAACTATCGATTCCCATTGGATGAAAAGTTGTTGGAATGTGCTAGAAAAGCTGTTAATGGAAGTAAGTTTGTTACTGAAATATGGGTCGGATGGTATTTATGTCATAGTTTCCTAATCATATGAATATTGAAACCTGTGTTATCGGTTTGCGAAAACAGTTGCAGGGCCGTCGTCTCGGAAGTTGTTAATAGTGGATTGCCGTTCATATACTGCAGCCCTTGCAAATCGAGTGGTGAAAGGTGGTGGAGCCGAGTCAGAAGGTTTGTTTAGTGTTTGTCAAATTTTTAATTTGATGAAAGGTTTAACATTATTACATTATTTTTCAATGAGTGAAGTCATTGCCTAAAACATGAGGCTTTCAGAGTATTATCAGCAAACGGAAGTCATCTTTTGTGGATTAGCAAATATCCATGAAATCCGTAGTAGCTTTCATAAACTGAGAGCTGTCCTCGCTGGCCCTCAAGATCACAATACCATTCTTCAATCAATTCAGTCGACTTTTTGGCTGCAATATCTTACAAGTCTCATTGATACCGCACAGAAATGTGTAAAGGCACTCGTGGATGACGGTTAATTTTATTCTAAAAAAAATTTCATAGATTTCAAATTATTTTGATCCAACAAAATTTTGACATATTAATTCTAATAATATCCTAACAGCTTTGTAAGTATGAAACAAATAAAAATGTATTTTATGTGTTGTAGTAATTCAAATAGAGGTAAACATTAAGGAAATTCTCAACTTCGTATAATTTAAATTTGAGGAATGCAGATCAAAACGGTTGATGGAAACGATGTTTCTCAAATTTTTTTTTTTTTTTAAAGGACGATCGGTTTTGGTTCACTGCACGGATGGTTGGGATCGGACTACGCAAATTGTTACACTTACAAAAATAATTGCTGATCCATACTATAGGACTTTCGAGGTGAGAGCATATCAAGTACAAATAAATTTTTGTGTTTTTGTGTTTCTTTTCTATTTGTGTTATAACGCTTCAGGGATTTAAAGTTTTGATTCGCCGTGACTGGATTGGTTTCGGACACAAGTTTGCTGATCGCACGGGTACGCGTAGTAGCGTCAGTGGGGAATCGTCACCAGTTTTCTTGCAGTGGCTAGATTGTGTTCACCAGTTGCATCAGTTGTTCCCAGATGCCTTTCAGTTCACTTTAAGTTATTTGGTAAGAACTTTTTGCACCTATTCTTGAGGTAGTACAAATTCAGAGAAACCCCAGATAAAATTGGATGATCATAAGTGGTATTGACACATTTGCGAAGAAGTAATATAATGATTGGCAAATTTGTTTGTTTGTTTTTTAAACTGTAGCTAAGCATTTCGAGCAATTCTTGATTTTGAATGCTCCGTGACATATTTTTCAGACAAAGTTAGCTCTTCATTGTTATTCCGGATTATTTGGGACATTCCTTTGGAATAGTCAATCTGAGAGAGAAAACTGGACTAAGAGTACGGATGATGCAGAAACGCTTTCGCTTTGGACATTTTTGGATGAATCGAAACCGGAGTATGGAAATGTTATTTATAGTCCTGGAAAAAGCAATGAGCGATTACATACATCTTTACATGTTGAGGATCTTCACATCTGGAAACAACTTTATATTGGACCTGCAATCGAAAGATTGATTAATGTAAGTTGTAATGTTGTAATGTAATGTTTTTTCTTTTTTTACAGCTGATATACTCAATTATGTATACATAAAAAAGTTTTGCAGTTTTTATCAGAAATCAAAATTAAAATTTATGTATTTCAATTAATGAGTATGTTTTTTTTTTTTCTTTTTTTCTTCATATTTTGCTGAGTGCAGTGTAACTGGTTTTCAGTGCTATCTATATATAGCTAATGAATTTAATAATAGCTCGTTTCACAGGAACAAACACTGTCAAACTCAGGGATGTGCGCAAGTCAGCATAGTGAAGTTGATCGTATAAGTTTGAATAGAGCCCATTCTGCTGAAAGTCTTTCCAATACGGACGCTAATGCATGCCAGGGATCATCAAATACAACGTATATCTTTGTCATTTAATTATGATGAATTTTGTACTTAAATATAATCTCTAAAATTGACTTGTATTGGTATATTTTTCGTTTATTAATGTAAATTGGTATATCTCTATTGCCTTAAATACTTCTTTAAGTCAACCACGTGTGTAATATATTTATCTTTGGAATATGTAATCGTCTTTTACAGTTTTGCTGGAAATACACATGCTCAATTCCTTAACAGCAATACTCGAACATCCGTTTCAAGTGAAACGGATTATGCACGACCTGATGAAAACGACTTGTCATTCGCATTTTATCGTGAAAGAGATCGCAGTGCTATTGCTGTAAGCTTTTATTTTCAATGACACTGAAATGTAAATAGCGTAAACTCAAGATTGACTTACGAAGTTAGTAGTGTTTTCAAAAAATTTACAAAAAATTTTTGTTGCGATTGTTATTCAACATTGCATCGTCCATGCAGAACTTTACATGTTTTTTTTTTTTTTTTTTTGCTTTACAGAGGGAAGTGGATTGTGATGGTTTGACGAAAATTTTGGAAATACGCGAAGAAAGGACTCGTGAGAAAGTTGAGAAATTGCAGGTGGGTGATTCCTAACATTCTTTACTTGTTTCACTTTGTCGAAATTATGTCTCTTATATCTGTCTCTTATTTTTAACTAAATGGTTATTCTTAGGCGTATATAAGAAAGTTATTTATAAGAAGAAGGTCTCACGAGTTTGAAGAAATTAATTACGGAGCTGAGAATTCAGATTAGTGGACCGATCGTCGTCCTCTTATTCATTTTTGCAGATAGTTAACGGCTGATAGTGAAGGAGAAGAATTTGAATTTATCTTGAAATTTCCGTTTTCAGTGTTTCTATTTTGTCTTCCTCTTCGTGTTGCTCATGAGAACTATTTAACATAATATTGTTGAACTATTTAACATAATATTGTCTAATATATTTTGTTTTCTATATATTGATATTGTCAGAGAGCATTATTATGCATATTGTAGTTAAAGTGGTTGAATTGAAAAAAATGAAAGACGAATAGAGTTTTTTAGTATGAATATAAATATGAAAATTGATGTTTTTCTCCTGTTTTGTTTTGTAAGTTGAAGCACAGTTTTTCCTTCAACGTTGTTTGAAATAGTTATTCAATAGAGCTTAAAGAAAAATGATTCAATTTGAAATTGTCATCAACACTGCAGTATATCCTGTAAGTTATGAGAGATGGACAGTTTCGATATTTGTTCAGGATTGTATCAATATGTTGCAAGAAAGACTTGGACAATTGGAAATAGAAGAAAAACGGAAAGTGAGTTGTGGAATTAGTGGCGAGTCACCTGGGTCGGATTTAATAATCGTAAGTTGAGGCTGAAGCCAGTTCATTTTCCCTCTCTTTTTCTGCCTTGGCAATGACTGATTAAGTCAGTGAAGAAGTGTAACAAATTGAAGTACTCTAAATTCAAGTTCGGTGAGAACAGCAGTCCGTCGTGTTCTGTGGAATCAGTTCTTTCAAACATGTCGGTCGTTGAAAAAGACGATGTTGCGGATATTTCGTATGGTTCGAAAGGATGGTTAATGGATGATGCTTCACAAAAATGCATGAATTGCCAGGGAACATTTTATTACCTAAGTAATCGAAGACATCATTGCAGGTTAGTCTTTTGCTTCTTTTTGTTCCATGTCTAATCTGTGTGACATATAATTAGAGCGAATAAATAGGATTAGTCATGTTTGGTTCTGTACGAATTACTGAATGCTTCGACTCTATAATATATTATGACACTAGTAATTAAAGTTCTTGTCTACCAAAGATTTTTATTTGTTTCCAGGAACTGTGGCGGTATATTTTGTTCTTCTTGTTCGAAACGTACCTTTTTTCGAGTATATGAAAACAAAGGTGGGAATGTGCGCGTGTGCAACAAGTGCTATGAGTTTATGGTAAAAGCTCGATCATTTATAGTAGCATCAGAGAAGACAACACAACCATTAACTTCTAAGAGGAATGGCAATTTAATGACGAGGAAGCCATCAGAAACAGCCATGAATGGTAGTAGCATCAGCTCAGCGATTTTTGGATAAAATTTTTTTACGACAGTTCAAGTGTATCTAGAAAAGAGATGATCAGTTTGATGAATTATATAGCAAGGAAAGAAATCATTTTTATTCTTCAACATTTTCAGTAGAATGGAGGATACTGAACTGGGTAGAAAAGCAAAAAAAGAAGGAGAGAAAAAAGGAAAGAAATTTTTCATTATTATCACCAATAATAAAAGCACTATTTCGTACACACCTTAAATGTTCTAGATTCAAGTTTGATGTCCAAATATGTACATATCAGTATGTACACTAGGCGACATATTTGTCATCTGTTCATTATCATAATTCAATATTTCATTCTTTATCGTTTAACAAGTTCTGAAAGATAGTAAAAGCTGTAAAATATGATTCTGTTTAACTCTTCCGCTGCTAAATGCCAGAAAGTTCTATGCGAATTTGTTCGACCCAACTTGTGTGACTTTTTGATTTCGTCATAGTTCAAGTGCGTAAAGGTCACTGTATATTGTTTTCACGATATAATATAACAAGACCAGAAAAAAAAACTTCGTCTGGCTCACCATAACAGTTGAATAGCGATGCATAGTTCTCAGTTTTCTGTTTTTTGCATTGTAATGTCTGCGATAACTGCAGTTTCACCACTTTATTGTTTTTTATTTTATTTTATTTTTTTTTTTTTTTTTTGTTCGGAAGTTAGAATCATTTTGGATGTTAAAATAGTCGTTCGGTCATTCTCTTATCTTTTTTTCTTTTTTTTAGATGTAATTTTTGAATGCTTTCCTTGTCACGTGCTGTGCTCAATTTAATTCATCGTTTGTTTTCTTGTTTAGCTCGTCGTTGAATTTTAAATTTTCTTTTCAGATCTTCGAAGAGTATTCTATAACAAAAATTTGAGTCGAAGATCTCGCTGCACAAATTGTTTTAGTGGCTTTGCTAATTAATTGTTTCCTTTCCTTGTTTCAGTTTTGTTACACCATGATTGGTGTTATTTATTAAAAGTAAAAATTATTTATTGAAATTAATGAGAGATATCACTCATTTTATCCTTTTTATGTTTATTCAGTTTTTGAAGAATAAAGAAAAAAAAATAGTGCGCATTTATTTATGCTTTAGTAGTGCGACAATCATCGCTGTACTCTTTTATAATAAATAATCAAAAGAAAAGTGAAGTAGTGATGATAATATGCTTGAATGTTATCTTACAGGTAGAGGTGTTTGGATGTTATCCGACTGTCGAAAATGTTGTAGTCGACTGATGGTTATGTGTAATTATTGGTTATTATGTACATAATTAGTGAGAATACAGGTGGAGATATTTCATGAAAACAAGTGTCAATCTCATGTGCTGTTATTATTGCTGATCGGAGTAATTTAAAGCTCTGAAGTTGTGGATTTTATACGATGTGTTCGGATCTTACGGTACTGACATCGGGAAATCGTATAAGTAGGATGGACTAAAATGATTATTGGGTTCCTGTATGTCGAATTGACATTTGGTGGCATTTAACACTTTGTAAAAATATTCCTGCTGACATTGCAACTTTTGACTGTGTACGAATGAAGAGATAAGATGTAAAATTTTGTGAAAGTAACAAAAGATAGTGTGGAAAAGTATAAACTGCAGTATAATTGAAATGATATAATAGTGTTTGTAGAAGATCGAAATTATCTGTTTTCGAAACAATAACCAAAGCTCCTCTGTGTTTATTTATATAAAATCAGCATAAATCGATGTGACAATGTATTTGGCTTTTCCAATTTAATTTATGGTTTGTACGAGTGTTAATTATTGATAGTTAATAAAAAAGTGAAGTTTAATTTCTGAGAAATGTTGAACGGAGCATCGATCATTTCTTTAATTTTTGTATTAAATTTCTAGAAATGGATTAATTTCTACTCTATAAAAATGTGTGGATTAGTTGATCATAAAAGAGACAAAGTAGAAATAATGTTGGTTGTTGTGTTCATTGGATTAAAAAAAAAAAAATAATAATAATTCGTCAAGTTTTAGAATTGGTTTGTTTATATGCGTTTTATCTTTTGTCAATTAAATTAATATTTAATAAGATAAAATATTGCAGCTTGATGGGAGATGAAGCGCATCAATTGGCTTCATCATCATCATCAACAATACAAATTGTTTCTATATTTAATTTGGAGAATGCTGCTTTTTCAAAGGTTTTTTCTATTTGAAAATATTACGATAGCATAGAATGCTTGAAACTAATCCAATTAGGATATATATTATGTTTGTTCACAGATGATTTTTCCTGATATCTGAGAATTGAGAAATCAAGATCTAAACTTGTAGGAATGTTACATGTAATGCTAACATTGTAAATCTGGAATTGTAACATTATTTAGTAGTGTAGAACTATTAAATTAGAAATTAATATCTGTATTAAGGATGCTGAAATTTCTGCTTTTTTTTTTTTGTATTCTTTATAATAGTAGATAAAGCACGTGGAAAAGAAATTGTTGAAATTTAAAAATTGTTCTGTAAAGTTATGGAAAAGAACTATAGACATATATTCAGGATAAGATTGGTTGTGGAGGATGTCGGTCAGTAAATGAATTCGAAAAAATGAATCGTGTTGGTGAAGGTACATATGGCATTGTATATAGAGCCAAGGATACAAAAACGGGAGAAATTGTATCTTATTCTCTCTCTCTCTCAATTTATTTAAAGCTTTAATTAAGATTGAAATTTAAGTTTAATCTTGAAATTTCATTACACTTCGGTTTTTTATTTTATTTTTTTTTTTTTAGATAGCACTAAAAAAAGTAAGGATGGATGAGAAAAGTGAAGAGAATGGAATTTCAATATCGGCAATCCGTGAAATTCATTTGCTGATGAGTTTGCACCACAAAAATATCGTAGAATTGAAGGAAATTGTAGTAGGACAGCAGTTAACTTCAATTTTTCTTGTTATGGAATACTGTACTCAGGTAATCCTAATTTTTGAGAAGCCAGGAGGATGACGAAAGATTTGGATATTATTGATCATCCTTTTTTTTTTTTTTTGCATTTCACATGAATTATTTCATGACTTGGCTTCACTATTGGACAATATGCGAGTGCCATTTACAGAGCCACAAGTTAAATGTATTGTAATGCAGTTACTAAAAGCACTGGTTTATTTGCATGAAAAACATGTAGTTCATCGAGATTTAAAGGTTCATTTGAAGTTTTTTTCTTTTCTTTCCTTTCTAAGATCCAGTTTTTTCTAACACTTGCCAAAAAAATTTTTGTGTTTATTATTTAAATTTTGTTGATATTTTTGATACGATAGTCAAAAACAACTTGAATTCATTTTATAGGTGTCTAATCTTCTTTTAACAGACGATGGTTGCTTGAAAGTTGCTGATTTTGGATTAGCGCGAACATTTGGAGAACCTTCCAAACAAATGACGCCACGAGTTGTTACTCTATGGTAATATTTTTTTTTTTCACAATGAATTATCTCAAGCATCAGCTTGTTCCATTTATTAATTCTGGAAAATCTGAAAGGAGTTCTAAACTTTGGAGTTTTTCAGGTACCGTAGTCCGGAATTATTATTTGGTGCAAAAGAACAAAGTACCGGTGTTGATATGTGGGCAACAGGATGCATTCTTGGAGAATTACTCATACATCGACCTCTTCTACCAGGGAAAACCGAGCTTGATCAGGTTCTCAAGTTCTCTATATTGCTTTCTCAATTACTGATACATATTTTTGATTATTTTCCTAAATACTTGTGGAAAATGGATCAAATTTACATATAGTTTAGATTAACAGAATAATCGATTTGCTTGGTACTCCAACAGAAAAGATATGGAAAGGAATCGATGAGTTACCTGCTTTGCGTAATTTTCATTTACGCTCCCAACCGTACAATAAATTGAAATGTGTGATGGAACGTGCTAGTGATAGTTGCTTGCAACTTTTAAATGGTCTCTTCACCTATGATCCATCTCTTAGAATTTGTGCAAAAGATGCGTTACGCTCAAGGTATAGAATTAAGTCCCAAAAATTTAATTTAATTTTTTTTTTTTTTATTTTCTTGCAAATAAGCAGCAAAATTAGCTTTCAATTGATTCTGAAATGATATGAGAAGGTTTTGGACGAAAACAATGATTTAAACTAAGTTTAAGTTTTGAAAAATTCTTTTAAAATTTTAGATATTTTAATGAACCTCCATATCCATGTGATGCAAGCATGATGCCATCATTTCCGCAACATCGAAATCGAAAGCGTAAAAGAAAAAGCAGTGATTGCAGCAATAATTGATATTAGTAATAGAAATTTTACTTGTGAATTTCACAGGAAATTACACAATTGTTGTTGTATCGATTTGTTTCCACATATGCTAATAAAAGCAGTGAAGAATTATTTTAGATTATATTTGCATATGTAACTTTTGATCAGTATTATCGTCGAAGATATTATGCATTCATCTAAAGTGTTAATTGCTTAACTACAATTAACCTTGAAGGAGAAAATTTGATAACAAATCAATAAAATCCAGGATTTATCGGAAAAATTCCAAGCGATAAAGTAAATTGGTTTGAGTTTGAAATATATTACTTATGATACATTTTTCATCTCATTGAAGTAGTGGGTAACTGATGAAATGAATTAATCATTATCAAAATTTTATCAAAATCTTGAACTGATAAAATTCCTTGTGTTTATCTTTTTTTTTTATATATATATATATCTTCAAATTAACTAAATTAGCTATTCGTATTGCTGTCATAAATAAATTAGACGTTAAAACTGAATCAAATGCTCGTACTTTGTTAAATTTGGATCCTTTCCTTTTAAGATAAATGAATTTATTCAATAACACTTAATTTAAATGAAGAATTTAAGATTAATTTGGCACAAAACATTGCAGTGTTAAACGTGAATCATTGTTAATTATTCATTTTGTTTTTTTTTGATTCAAATTAATTTGGTCTACTTGTTAAGATTTCATTTCATATCTGATTCTTAACACTGTTGGAAGGATTTAACTTGTGATACCGGATAATATTTCAGTTGTATTTGTTGCATTAAAGCATTATTAAAAATAGACTGAAATTTGAATTAAGAATTTTTATTTGCGTATTATATTTTTGATGCAAATTTTTGACATATTTAAAAAAAAATTGAGATAAATTCATTGTTCTATTTTTTTTTTTTTTTTTTTTTATGATTGAATAGTGTTAGACTTTTCTTTAATTAATGCTAAGCTGTTTTATCTTACTTTTTTGTAACAAATTACTTCCAAGTTTATAAACATTAAGTGCATAATCTGGACTTTTTTGTCTCTTAATGTCGGTTGATGTGACATCTATACCACCTGTACCACCACCTGTACCACCACCACCACCTGTACCACCTGTACCACCACCACCTGTACCACCACCGTCATCATTACATTAACCAACATTGACTATTGTATGCTCTGTAGAAAAGGATCGTTTACCAAAATTGAAAAAATTGGTGAAAACTGATTTACACACATATCAATTATATAAAGTTATCGGTGAAGGTAGCTATGGTATCGTTTATGAAAGTGAAACTGAAGATGGGTTAGTTAAGTTTTTTTTATTATTAACTTTAGGCAATCATTTCTAATCTCATTTTTATGCATCATTTTTTCAACATTTTTTTACCATAAATAATTCCTTATTTTATTTTTTTTTTATTAATAAAATTTCTTATTAATTACATAATTAGTAGTAAATTATGTAATAAATTACTTAATAAGTAATAATTATTTTGGATTATGAATTAATTGTTGAAATAATTACCTTTGGGAAGTGACCATTTTAGTCAAAAACGTTAAGTTGATCACCTATTTTGTTTAATATAAATTAAGTACAGGTAAATCATTTCACGTATCATTTCAATTTCAGAATCACCACTATAACGTTACGTTTTTTTTTTTTTTTTTTTCTTGATTTTATTAGTACTATATGTTACTAGTATGTACGTCAAATATTCAAAGAGATATTTACATTCTTATCTTTTTCTTAGTTCAACGAAAAATTTTTTACTTTCTTTCAAGTAAGTATCGTTCACGCAAGTTTCGTTCACGCAGTTGCAACGTTAATTAATATGCGTTAGCATTGAAAGATTTTAATATAATTTTATTTAAACAAGAAGAAAATAACAATAATAGTGAATTGTATATTATAATTTTATTGAAATTTTTTTTTTTTTTCAGAATAGACAAAACTTTATTTTACACGTTGATTATTACACGTACTACACGTGTAAAAACTTTGATATTACACGTTACACAACTCTCTTTTGCCCCGTTTCATTGATATGGCATTCTTGAGTTCAAGCAGTACTTGAGATGATTGTCCAGTTGTAGCATTCGTTACTTACCCGAAAATTATCAAAGTTTAATAAGAATGAGAAGTGTTGATTGATAATTTTTGAATTATTGCATTTGTTTTTTTTTTTTTTTTTTTTTTTTAGATTTAAAAAATAAATAAATAAGTAAATAAAACTTGAATAAAGTATGATGCCACCTGAATTACTTATATCTAAAAATTATTCCTAAACTTTATTTAAATTACCGAAAATTTCATTAAATTATAATTATACAGCAACGAATATAACCGAATAGTTAAATTGAAAAATTCATATTAAATTTTTAACACTTTTTGAAATGCTCCAAACATTATCCGGCTAATATAAATGCATATGGTACTTAATTAAATCAAATTAAAGTATTTCATTCTATTGATCATCTATTGATCCTTCGTATAAGCGCACTATCTGATATAATTCCGTTGAAATTTTTTAATTTCAAAAAATGATTTCAAATTATGTAACTTTTAAATGATAAATTCACAATATGGTTAATTTAATTAAGCATGAATAGATGAAGAGTAATGCTAGAAATAAATTAATCAGTGAAGTAATCCATTAAATATCAATTCAAATTGTCAATTTCAAAAATGAAATTAATAATATTGTTAATTAGTAATAAAATAAAACATTTATCAAATTACTTATCAAATTTAGTATAACATTCATTTTAGGTAATAAATCATTATCATTAAAGTTTTAAATTATATCAGTACTAATTTATCATTTCATTAACTATTTAAAAGAATGTTAAATTTTGTTTTCTAATTCATCTCATTAATACTTTTTCAAATGTAAGATTGTATGTATGCATCGAAATTTTCACGTTATTTTTAAAATATAATTAAGATTATCATAAGTAAATTATTATTTCATCCATGAATAATATATTATTTTATTCATTTACATATTAAAAAAAAAAAAAAAAAATGAATTGAGAAATTTAAATATGCTAATTAAATTAACTGAATTCTTGATTAATCATTCTCTCTTCTCCTACTTCTATTTCATTCTTATCAATTTACTGTTCTAATTTCTAACAGTGACATTTAATAATTTCAAGAATGTGTTAAATTCCGAATTTTATAAATTTTAACAAAATTTAATGAATTTGAAATAGATCGAAGCTAAATTAAATTTATAGACATCGTGTAGCTCTGAAAAGCAGAAAAATACAGTAAATCGATGTTACACCTTAAAGTAAGTGTAATGTATGCTGCAGCACGACGACATAGCCAACATATTTGTGAACTAATCGATTATGTAAGCTTTTTTTTTTTAAAAAAAAAAAGATTTTGTTTCAAAAATTTTCTTAAATTTGAAGTTTGAAATGATCAAAAAGTTTATCACATTAAGCATATTGCAATGATTTCCTAGGATTAAAGCTTAAAGATCACTTATAGATATTAGCCAAAGAATTATAATTATGTAAATTAGCTACAAATTATAAATGACCTAATATAGCGATGAATTTTTTTTTTTGTATATAATAATTTAAATTACTAATAAAATGATTTGTCAAAAATTATTAATTTAATTTAAACAGGTAAATTCTAAATTTAATTTTTTAACATTGAATAATTAATAATTGAGGGTATGGAGAAACCAAATTATATCTTTATTGCTGAGGAAAGATTTACATAAATTGCGCAATGAGCAAATTAACAGGTGTTTTTCGATGTGTACTGCAATTCAAATAGGCTTGCAAACATTGAAAGCTATAGAGGAATTACATTTGTTAGTTTATTCTTTTATAAATGAAATTAGCATAATTAACTATATCCTTTAATTAATTCAATATAATATATATTTTTTAAAAATCTTTTATGACTTGAAACTCTTCTAAGATTATCATTAATATTTTAAATTCGCATTGAAAATTGCAAATTTTGTTTATTACTGCAAAAAAAAAAAGAACTGATAAATTGTTAGATAATAATAAATTAAAGAAGCAATAAATTTTATTAAAGAACTGGTAATTTTATGGTTGGATGATGTGAAAATCAACAGCATAGAACGATATTCTTGATTGATTTTGGTCTTGCAAAAAAAAAAATATATTGATAAGGTAAGATTTTTGATAAGGAAGAAAATATGGAATGATAAAAATATTCCAGTAGTTGATATAGTGAAAAAATATATGATAGTGATAAGGTAAGATTTTTGATAAGGAAGAAAATATGGACTGATAAAAATATTCCAGTAGTTGATATAGTAAAAAATATATGATAGTGATAAGGTAAGATTTTTGATAAGGAAGAAAATATGGACTGATAAAAATATTCCAGTAGTTGATATAGTAAAAAATATATGATAGTGATAAGATAAGATTTTTGATAAGGAAGAAAATATGGAATGATAAAAATATTCCAGTAGTTGATATAGTAAAAAATATATGATAGTGATAAGGTAAGATTTTTGATAAGGAAGAAAATATGGACTGATACAAATATTCCAGTAGTTGATATAGTAAAAAATATATGATAGTGATAAGGTAAGATTTTTGATAAGGAAGAAAATATGGACTGATAAAAATATTCCAGTAGTTGATATAGTAAAAAATATATGATAGTGATAAGGTAAGATTTTTGATAAGGAAGAAAATATGGACTGATAAAAATATTCCAGTAGTTGATATAGTGAAAAAATATATGATAGTGATAAGGTAAGATTTTTGATAAGGAAGAAAATATGGAATGATACAAATATTCCAAGATATATTTTTTATTTTTTTTATCATTTAAATATTTTTTCAAAATATATATTTTATTTTTTATCATTTAAATATAAAAATCTTTTTTTTTTATTTATCATTACTTACTAATTTTAAATTTACCTTATCATAATAGTAACGAAATATGATAGTGATAAGGCGAGATTTTTGATAAGGAAGAAAATATGGAAAAAAATATTTCAAT